TGCAGTGCCCGGCCGGCCCCAGCACCTACCCCCATCTTGGCGGCTCGGCGGGGAGCGGGGCGGGCGAGCGGGCGGGCGCCTCAGGGCGGGCTCGGGCTGGGGCCTCTGCAGCGCCCGCGCCTCGGTCGGGGCGTGAGTCCGTCCGTCTGTCGGTCCCGCGGCACAGAGGCTGCGGCGGCCCGCGCCTCCGCCTCCTCATATGCCCGCGCCCGCTGGGGGGGCGGCGCCGGCCAATCAGGGGCGCCGCCGCGCTGACGGACGGCCCGCGGCCCCGCCCCCAGTACTGCAGCTGTCCTCCCCCTGGTCTCCGCAAAGTGGCGGCGCGGCTGAGAAGGGGGAGCTCTGCGGGGAGAGGGTGCGGGGTGATTCCCGGAGACCCCCGCAATGGGAGCCCCGGAGACCCCCTCAATGTGGGCTGGAGGCTCGAAGGAGGGGTTGCTGAGGGAAAGAGCCCCGGAAATCCCCTCATCGTGGGGGTGCACCAGGGAGAGGGGTGCTCTGAGGGGCGGGCGACACGGGGAGGGGGGAAAGCCCCGTGAACCGCCGCAGTAAGGCAAGGGCCGCAGAGGAGCACCCTGCTTTGCAGTGTGGCAGGGGGGTCCCCGGAGACTGCGGGGTGCTGTCCAGGGGGATGGCCCTGCAGGAAGGGAAGTTGGAGGGAGACACAAGAGAGCAAGGAAGACCCCCGAATTGAGGAGGGGTGCTGGGGGGAGGAGCCCTGAGAACCCCTCACTGTGTGCGGGGGCGGGGGGCCCATGGCTGAGCTATCCAATGAGACACAACATAGCTTAGGACCGATCTGGGAGGCCCAGAAAATGCCCAGCATCCCAGTCACACACGACCGTCACCCGGATAGCCCAGACACTGGGGACACACACACCGCCACGGATCACACTCACATTCCATCACACACCAGCTTGTACCCAGGGACTCACAAACAGGTAGGAATGAAATGCACGGAGAGCACACGCCTTGCACACCCATCGCACCATGACAGAGTCACCAGCACGGTCAGATAGTGCCATATGGACTAACACACACCCTCAGAACACCGCATCGCAGACTCACACATCACACACTCTGCCACCCCCGACCTCGCTCTGCCTTACACTGTGCAGCCCATGAACCAACGCACACCCTCCCTCAGCACTGGCACAAGTGCACAGGCCTCCCAGCCTGTGGACACCCCACCTCAGCCTTTGTGAACATTGTTGCATGATCACACAATCCACACACATCATCACACTCACGCCCACTGTGTCTGCGCATGAGGAAAGGCCCACAGTGCAAACTCCTTGCTAACGGTGAATGACACACAACAAGGTGTGCGCACTCATACACAGCACAATAATTCACAGACACATGTCACACGACACCATCCCACACACACACGCATCACGTACTGCAGCACCGTCACAGACGCTTTTGTTGCACCTCCAAGCACACCCCAACACCCTCACTTACACACCACACACCCCCATCATGGGATGTGTACGCACACAGACGCACAGCCAGCACCCACACCTCGGGCTGCCACCTACACGCCACACCCCTCAGCCACACCACTGGGGCCTGAGGAGCCAGGGCCTCCCACGCCCACCCCAGCAGCACTTTGCTCCATGAGGAGCACCCCAGACTCTCCCTGGCGATTGCAGAAGGAGGAGGCAGAGAGAGAGAGAGAGAGAGAGAGAGAGAGAGAGAGAGAGTGAGCTTGGTGCATGGGGGTGGGGGTGAAGGTTAAGGACCTGGTCAGGGACAAGTGTGAAAGGCTGAAGACCAGAGTGAGAGACACAGAGACAGAAGCAGAGACAGAGATTCAGAGCCACAGAGAGGTGGGCATGGACAGGGCCCGACACATAGTAGGAGGCGCAAAGGCTTCTCCCAGCACCCAGAGCCTCATCCCAATCCTGTACTCTGATCCATCCTCATCTCTCCCTCTGTCCCATGTTGCCATAGTAACAAAGAGGCTGACTCTGCAGCAAAGGAGGCTGGGCCTGCAGACTAGGCTGTTGCCACGGAGACTGGGAAAGGGGGAGGAGCCACATCTTTCAACCCAGGTGCATTGCCCCCAGATGCCCCCTTCCCAGTTCTGTCCCCTTCCTGGGGGAGGGAGAGCTTGTCAACACATCATCGCTTCCCTCTCTTGACACCTTGGCCTGAAGGTATGGGCCTGGACCATGGAGGATAGGATTGGGAGACAGAGAAGCCCGGGGAGGTGGGGGAGGTCTGGTTTCCAGGAGCTTCTAGGCTGTCTCTCCTCCTGCTCTCCAGCTGGGCTGGGGGAGGCCTCGGGCCGTCCACATCCCACCTCAGACACAGGCTCGTGTCCCCCCTCATGCACTCCCTCCTCCGACACAAGCCTGGCGAGACTGATGACTGTGCATTGTGCTCCCAGCGAGGCTTTGCAGAGGTGGGGGGTGAGGAGGAAAAACTCAGGAAGGTCACAGGGATGGAGGGGGACAGGGGAGCTCAGCATGAAAGATGGGGGGAAAGGAATAAGAGAAACAGACACACAGTCCAGAACCAGAGACAGGCTGATACAGACAGACAGACTGAAAAAGACAGAGATATTGGCAAAGACAAAGACGAGAAAACAGACAGAGGGAGACAGAGCAACAGAAGTACTCGTGAAGGTGACAGAGAGACACAAGGACTTAGCCAGGCAGAGGCAGGTTTGGCAAACTAGGGAGATGCAGAGAGATTGAGGAGAGAGGCCAGGTGCAGTGGCTCATGCCTGTAATCCTAGCACTCTGGGAGGATCGCTTGAGGCCAGGAGTTCGAGACCAGCCTGAGCAAGGGTGAGACCCCATTTCTACAAAAAATAGAAAAATTAGCCAGGTGTGGTGGCGCGCACCTATAGTCCCAGCTACTCTGGAGGCTGAGGCAGGAGGATTGCTTGAGCCCAGGAATTTGAAGTTGCAGTGAGCTGTGATGACACCACTGCACTCCAGCAGGGGCCACAGAGCAAGACTCTGTCTCAAAAAAAAAAAAAAAAAAAAAAAAGACTGGGGAGAGGCTGAGCAGAAACTTGGTGGGGAGGGGGGCTGTGCAATGGGGGAGAGACCCCAGCGGAGATCGGCCTGCTAATGTTGGGACAGAGAAAGTGAGAGACCAGAAATGTCTGCAGTCATAGTCTAGTCACCTCGACAGGCAGAATCCGGTCCAAGGGCAGAGACACTGATGGACTCTGTGAAAGAGATGTGGAGACAACAGAGGTGCTGAGACCAGAGAGAGGCCGGTGCTGGCCCTCACACCTGTCCCTGAAGGGCACACAGGCAGCAAGTGTCCAAGACACAGAAGGGGCTGGGTGCAGACTGGGGGCGCTGTGTGAAATGCCCGGCAAGGGGGTACTGTGTGTGGAGGGTCTCCCGGGTGTGACCCGCCTGCCGAGGACAGCGGGAGGCAGCCGGGCCCTGGAGGGGAGACCGGCCGCCGCGGTGCTGAACGGACAGCTCCCGGGCTCGGCGGCCAAGGGGCGGGCCAGCCTCTCCGCGTTCTCTCGGGTCTGTCTGGCTTTGCTCACCTCTCCGGGCCTCTCCAGGCTCCGTTTGCGGCTGGGAGTTGTTTATGGCTTCCTGTCTCTCACCCCAACTCCCCGTGTCTCTTTCCCTCCCTGCTTCCCCTCTGCCCCGGCCCTCTACTCCTTCTCTCAGATAATCACAGCATCTCTCCCTGTCTCACCCCCTCTTTGCCCCTAACTCTCCCTGTCTCTCCCCCATCCCTGTCTCTCCTCACCCCTCCACCTCTCCCCTTTCTACTCGGCCTCCTTTCGGCTCTCCCTGTGTGACCTTCACTCGTCCTTTCTCTGCTGCAGTTTCCACAGAAACCTCCAGCGGGGCGAGGGAGGGCGGGACGGAAGGCAGACCCACTCTCCTCCCTGCGAGCTGCCCTCCAGCCTCTCTCGCCCCCCCCCCCCCACTGGGATTCCTCACTTCCTCTCTGGGGGCCAGGGAGCTACATTTGCAGCAGAAACACAGGGGCACAGTTACGGACAGTTCAAGATGGCCTCACGGATGTACTCAAATGATCACAAAGTCACCGAGTCACCCTGACCCCGGCACACATTCGCCACCATGGTGGCCTGGGGTGGCCCCCGCACTGAACAGCTCACTGGCCCTCCCCACCCGCAGCCCCATCTGGTTTCTGTCTTTCTGTGTCTCCCGTTTCCGGTGTCTCCGCCTCTCCAGATCCCTGCATCTCTCTCCATCTGTCTCAGGCCTCTGTCGCAGCCTTCCTCTGTCCTTACAGAGGAGGAGTGGAGAGTGGCCAGCTGCTGGGACCCGGGCTGACCTGCTGGCTGTGGGCAGGGCCGAGCGTGGACAGTGTGGACGTGACCACGGAGGCTGTGCTTCTCAGCAGACACCCTAGGGACCCAGGCCTCCAATGCCCTCACACCCCCAGGAAATGAGACCCGGTTTCCCCGGTTTTGGGGTTTTGTTCTTTTTTTATTCCAACGGGGGCTGAGATGTGGCACGGGGAGGGATGGGGGCCCAACTGACCCCCTCCCCAGGGGGGATCTCATAGAAATTCCGAGGTTTCTCCCCCAAAAAAAGAGAGAAAGAGAAGAATGGAGGGGCACCAGGAGACACCCATCTGTCCAGAGGCCCTCCCCACCTCCAGAAGCGTGGAGGACTGCGTTAAGTCTTGGGGGGCCTGAGCAGTCCCAGGATGGGGTCCTCTCCGCGGACTGCTTTCCGCTTCCGGAAACGGCCCCCGGAGTCCCCGTCCCCCGGAGTCCTCGGTGCCTGCGCTCCTCTTGCCCGCAGCGGGGGGCGGAGCGCGGGCGTCCGCAGCACCCGTTCGCGAGTCCACTAGGGGGCGCAGGCAGGCTCCCGAGCCTGGGCTCGGACTTCGCAGGGAACCGAAGGCAAAATCGCGGTGTCCGCGGCGCCGGCACGCAAGTCCTGTCCCCCGCCCGCTGGGGAAGCGGGGGCGGCCGGGGCCCGGGGCGGGCCCTGTCCCCGCGGTCAGTCCGGGCGCCCGCCCGGCCCCGCCCGTGGTCACTCGTGCTCGGCCAGCTCGCGGGGGCCGGCGGGGACGGGCCGCGGCCGGGGCGGGCTGGTGGCCTCGGCGGGGGCGCCCAGGCCACGCGGGGGCGCGCCGGCTCCCGAGGCCCGCAGCGCCTGGATGCGCCGGCACTCCTGGCAGACGCGCACGTGGGTGCAGGGGGTCGGGGCGGGGGGCCGGGACCCGCCGGGCGGCCCCGGGTCGTCCAGGAGGCGCTGCGGGCCCCCGTGCGCGCCGCCCGCGTCCCCGCCCGCGCCGGCCGAGTACAGCTTGCCGTTGCTGAGGCGCATCTCGCGGACGGCGCGCAGCGACAGCAGGGCTCGGCTCGGGCCGCCCGGGCGCCGGCGCCGGCGGGAACGCGACGTCTTGCGGCAAGACACGGCGTGGCGCAGCTCCTGCAGCATCTCCTGGCACACCGACACCTGGGGGCGCGAGGCAGTCACCGTCCGGGCGCTCTCCTGGCTTCCCCTCCCCCTGGCTCCTGCAGCCTCCTTCCCCTCCCAGCCACAGCTTCTCTCCACACCCCACTCCTCCTCCTCTCCTCTGCCTTCTCCCTCTGCTCACTTCCCACTCCTCTTCCGCAGTCCTTTCCCTGTGTCTTCTGTCGCCTCCACCTCTCCACTCCTGTCTCTCCCCACTTCTCTCCCACGTCTCCACTCTCCCTCGGGTTCATCCTGAATCTGCCCGTCACCTCCTACCTAGGCTCCTGTTGCCTCCGGTCCTAGCCAGCGCCCATGCTCCGCCCCTGATTCATGCAGTCATTATTGCAAGGCATATTTACCGAGAGCCTACTGTGTGCCAGGCATGGTTCTGGGCACTGGGGATACAGCAGAGAACAAAACACACAGAAGTCCCAGCCCTCGTGGAGGTTATATTCAAGTGTGCAGAGACAGAAAATAACAAATATGTAAATGTGTGTAGTATGTTAGATGGCCATGAGCACTTTGGACAAAAATCAAATAGGGAAGAGAGGTGGGGAGTGACGCTGAATTTTGAGACAGGACAGTCAAGGAGGACCTCACTGAGGGGAGGACCCTTAAGTAGAGATGGGAGCACGTGGCGCCCAGGAGGAGAGTGGCTGGGCAGACACAGCAGGGCCAAGGTGCTGGGGTGGGAGCAGCTCTGAGGACCCCCAGGCAGGTCAGGGCGGCTGGAATGGGAGTGAGGGAGGCAATGAGGTCGGAGAAGCAATGGAGGCCAGCATGGGTGAGGCCCAAAGGCCACCGGAAGGACTTTGGCGTTTATTCTGAGTCAGGTGGGAGCCACTGGAGAGTATCAAGTAGAGGCCTGTTGTGTCTTAACAGGATCACAGTTGACCCCAGGCTGTAGGGAGGCCAAGGGCAAGAGCAGGGAGGAAGAGCCACAGTAACCCAGGCAGGAAATGGTGGAGTCTGGACCAGAGTGACATGAGAAAGGGGTTGGATTCTGGCTACAGTTTGAAGGTGGGGCCAGCAGGATTTGCTGGGAGATCAGATATGGAGCATGAAAGAGAAGGAGGGGAGGATAACTCCACATATTTTGGCCTGAGCAACCGGAAGGATGGCACTGCCCTGCGGGTGGGCAGGAGTTCAGAGCTGTAAGTTACGCACATACCTCCAGATAGACAGGCACGCGGGGAGGTCGAGCATGAAGCTGACCTCACAAGCCCTGGCTTCAGGGAGATACCCACCGGGGGGTTAAGGCAGGCATCCTCCAAGATCCCACCCCGACACTCATAGGGCTGGGCTGTGTGACCAACAGAATACGGCTAGGACACTGCCATTTTGGCTTCTGCCTTGCTTTCTTGGGTCACTTACTCTGGGGGACGTCAGCTGCCAGGGCATGAGGACACTCAAGCAGTCCCATGGGGAGGTCCTTGTCTGAGGAACTGAGGCCTCCTGCCAACTGCGATGTGAGTGTATTCACCATGTTTTTTTTTTTTTTTGAGACAGAGTCTCACTCTTTTTGCCTCGGCTAGAGTGCCGTGGCGTCAGCCTAGCTCACAGCAACCTCAAACTCCTGGGCTCAAGCAATCCTCCTGCCTCAGCCTCCCAAGCAGCTGGGGCTACAGGCATGTGCCGCCATGCCCGGCTAATTTTTTCTATGTATTTTTAGTTGTCCAATTAATTTCTTTCTATTTTTAGTAGAGACGGGGTCTCGCTCTTGCTCAGGCTGGTTTCGAACTCCTGAGCTCAAACAATCCGCCCGCCTCGGCCTCCCAGAGAGCTAGGATTACAGGCGTGAGCCACCGCGCCCGGCCTCACCATGTTTTTTATTTTCTGTCTTGGGATATTTTTCTTTCCTTTTTTTTCTGGTCCCTCCTCCTCCTCTGTCTTGGGATATTTTGACATCTTAAAAATCTTGCAGGCTGAGGACAGACTGCCCCTCCCAGAACTAGCCCATTCTCAGAGATAACAAAAGGCTTGGATGCCTATCATAGGTAAAGCAGCCAATCCCGAGCCTATACTCCCAACCATCCGCTCTTTACCAAACCCGAATCTACCAAATCTTTCAGTGTTGTCACTCAGACACCTCTATAACTTAAAATCCCATGGGGACATCTGAGACAGCAAGCCATCCTGGAAGTGGACCCTCTAGCCCTGGTCCAGCCTTCGGACCACAGCAGCCCGGGCAAACATGACTGTGACCTCAGGGGGCCTGGGGCAGCCAGAACCATCCAGCAGCCTACGCCCCCAGGCTCCCGGGCCATAGAACTGACAACTACCTGACGGAAGGGACTGTTTTAAGCTGTTAAGGTAATTTGTTACGGTAGCAATAGATGATGAGTACACGAGTCGCCAGCACAGACATGGTTTTAAAAGCCAATTGGCTGCCTGGAGTCACCAAGTGGAGAAAGACAGAGAAGAGAGGCTGTCCAAGGACCGAGCCCCAGAGCCCCCAACACGCAGAGGCAGGGCAGGAAGAGGAACCCAACGATGGAGCCTGGGAAGGCACGGCCAGAGAAGGAGGAGGAAAATGAGGCTCGGGTTCTGGGGAGAGAGAGGGATTAGCTGTGCTGAAGCCTATTTGCTGCCTCATGTAGACGAGGCCTGAGGCTCGGGCATTGGACTTCAGGTGTGGAGGGCGCTGGTGACAAGAGTGGCTTCAGTGGAATGGTGGGGACAGAAGCTGGACTGGAGCAGGCCAAGAGTGAATGGGAGCGAAGAGGCTGGAAGCAGCAGGGAGACACAGCCCTTTGAAGGGTGTGAAGGGAACGGGGAAATCAGGTGGTGGCTGGGAGGAGAGGTCAAGAGAGGGTTTCCTTAGGCGACAGAAATGACAGGACAGCTGCCTGCCAATGGCCGGGCTCCAGTAAAGAGAAGACAGCCGATGATGTGGGAGGAAAGACGTGCCGGAGGGACGTCCTTGGGAAGGTAAGAGAGGAGGCAGCCTGCGCCCAGGGGGAGGGCGCCACTGCTGGCAGCACAGAGGCTCCTTCGGAGGAGCCGGGGCAAGTGGGGGCCGCAGCAGGCGGCTGGACGCTGAGCGGGCAGGGGAGTAGATACAAGGTCAGCCGCGGGAAGTGAGCAGGGGGAGGAGAGGCAGGAGGTTGGCAGAGAGAGGGAAGCAGGGAACTAGCAGCCCAGGGGCGCGTGGCAGCACGAATGCTCTAGAAATGCAGGGGTGTTGCAGCCCCTGGGCACATACAGCGTGAGAGCGGCCAGCAAGGCTGCGTCCTCTTCCAGCCGCACCAGCGGCTTTCTCATCGCCTGTTTCTCCCCTTATTTCTCTTATTCCTTCTGGCCTCGCTGCCCCTGTGCCTCTCCACATCCTGCCCGCTCGCCTCGCCACCCCTTCCTGGCTTCCTGTGCCTGCTCTCCCTCCTCTCCTGCCTGGACTCTCTGGCCCTGTCTGCTCTCTCGCCTCCCGCCCCTCCTCCCCCTTCTCCTGTCCGCCACCCTCAGGCTCCCAACGCCACCCGCTTTTGGGCCCCAGCCCCTGGGTTCCCACTTTCCGCCCCACCCCCCGCTTCGCCCACCTCCTCACCTCTTCGGACTCCGCTGACCGCCGCGTGGACCATATGAACTCCATGACCGCCACAAAGACAGCAATGATGAGGCCACAGATGAGCACGACGAAAATGCCACCAATGTTCTCCATGCCCAAACCTGAGGGGGGAAGGGGGAGAGCCTCGGGGTCGGGGCTGTGTGGGCGCAGGGACCTCAAGGGAGCCAGGGGAGAGTCGCTCCGCGCGTGGGGGCGGCTGACCTTTAGCTCGATGGTCCTCCTCCTTGGGGCACCGGCCGCCCTCCCACCACTTGCGTTTCAGGATCTCCAGCCGGTTGTTCTCCTGGAGCTGCAGGATGGCCAGCGTGATCTCGTCCCGGAACGGGGAGCCTGCGCCGGGCACACGATGGGCTGGATTGGCCCTTGGGGACCTGGAGAACTGCCTGCCCCACCCAAGCTGCCCCCTCACCACGGCCTTCCCCGCCTCTGTCGCGTGCCCAGGGTCTTCCCTGTGGCCCCTCCTCCTCCCCCACCCAGTCTGTTTTCAACACAGCAGCCAGAGAGACCCTTTCAGGAACAGTCATAAGCCTCTTCTGTGCTTAGAGCCCTCCAGTGGCCTCCGGTTGCAGCTGGCACAGGTCCTCCTCGGGCCTCTGCGACCCTGCACTCACGCCCCGCCACTCTCGGACGCCCCCCACCCCACCCCCCGCGCTCTCACTCCAGCCTCCTGGCTGCTCCCTGAACCCACCAAGCGCAGTCCCACCTTAGGACCCTTGCCTCTGCCTGGAATGTTCCTCACCCGACTCCATTCAGGTCTCTGCCCACAAGCTGGCTCCTCAGGGGTCTTCTCTGACTATTTAAAATGGCACCAAGCACCCCACTCCCCATCAGTCTGTTCCCCTTAATTTACTTCAGAGCAGTTGTCACCGCCTGACATCATGTTATGTAGCTACGTGTTTATGACCTGCTTGTCGTCTGCCACCCCTGGTAGAAAGCAGGAGGGTGGGGACTTGGCGGCTGCCCCACCATGGAATCCCAGCAGCCCGTGCAGGGCCTGGCAGGGTGTCGGACAGGCCCACCGAGTGTGAATCCCCACCCACCGTCTCCTCTGGGCCACCTCTCTCCTCCCCACCCTCAGACCATCCTAGGCCCCCACGCCCCTCACACCCTATTCTGTACTTCTTCAGTCACCTAAGGTACTTCTTGAGCATCTGCTACATGCCAGGAACTAGGGATACGGCAAGTGGAGGTGATTAATATTCATAATCTTATCACACCCTCTGTGCGCGGGACCCTGAGCTTATTCAATCTCCCAGTGATCGTGCGAGGCCGTCATTACCATCTGAGATAAGTACTTCTGAGTGAGGAGAGTGACACTCTCACGTAAGGTCGTGCACTGAGTCAGGGAGGGAACTGGGATTTGGATCCAGGTTAGTGCGACTCCAGAGCCTGTCCCCAAAGCACCGGGCTACACTGCTTCCCTGGCACAGCCCTCACTCCTACAAAGCTGCTAAGATTTTCTGTGCAGTAATAGATAACTAATACAGGCATCATCAGCATATTGATGATTTTAGAAGCCAAAATGCCAAAATTTGGTGACAAATTAATAGTGGGTTTCCAGCACTGAGCCCTGGGAAAGTATGTCCTGAAGTGTAAATAGGCACCCCCAAGTCACCCTGGCAGATCCTTCCAGCCACCCATCCACCCATCCATCCAACAAGCATCTTCTCAGCGCCTGCTCTGAGCCAGGCTGTGGGTTTGGTGCAGAGAATATGACACAAATAAAACCAGCTCCTCGCCCTGGAAGGGCCCTCCGGCCAATGGGTGAAGGCGGCCACCTCATGGCCCATGTGTCCTGAATTGCCCACAGAGTGTCACTGGATTCTCCAGTATCCCTGCAGGGCTAGAACTCATTGTTCCTAGGCCCAGTTTTGCAGGTTGATGGTGCAGAGGTTCAGGATGTTGATGTCACCTCCCCAAGGCCACACAGCCAGGAAGCCACACAAAACACACCCAGCCTGCCTCAGGGAGGGCCTGGCCTGGCCCTGGGCCTGCTTGCACATCTTGGTTTGGGATGTCCAGGGCCCCGCCATATGCCATACCCAGAGGCATGCCGATGCCGTAGCCCTTGGTGTCGAGGAGGCCCCCGATCTGCGTGAGGTTGCAGTTGAGGCGCCGGTGGTACTCGTTCATGGTGGACTCGAGCAGGAAGGCGTAGCGGGAGTTGAGGACGCGGGCAATGCCCTCTTCCGTGCTCTTGACAAACACACTGGGCTGCTTCGACTGCATGTAGTTCCACATACGCTGGTACGTCTGGTACCGAGAATTCTGGGCACGAAGAACACAGGGAAAGGTGAGGCCTTTGCACCCCCTTACTTTCCCTGAGCCCTGTCCCCTATCCTCCAAGAAGTCCCTCAATTCGAGAGAGAGCGAGGAGATGAGAGGAAGACAGAAAGAGCTAAAGACAGGAGGAGACAGGACACACAAACTGGCCATGGCCAGGTCCAAGTCATCCCCACAGCCACCAGTCCGTTGAGGAAGCCACTATCCTCCCTAGAGGTCCCACAGCCCTGCCCAAATCTGCTCCTCTAGTTTCTCACCTGGGTGGTACGCACCACCCACCTGGGAGCCCCGGGAGTTTGCCACCCGCAATCCTTAATTCTTCAGCCAGTGGGCCCTGCCCATCTCTGGCCTCCTCCAGAATACAAGTCTACCCCCAACCCAGCCACAGAGGGAACTTCCAGCTCTAGATGCTCCCCATATACGGGGTCCAGTCTAAGTGCCCTGTCCTGGCATTCAGGGCCTCTGCAGTCTCTGTCCTGAACCTCCTCACCAGGCTTGCTTTCCTTTTGTTTCCTTCCCACCACCCCAAAATACACAGGATCAAGCTCCTTTCACCTTGAAGAACCTTCCCTTCTCTCTGCTGCCCATTTTCCTGGGCCTGACCCTTCCAGCAGTCTCCTCGAACCCACGTGCTCTGGACGGCTCTGATTCGACATTAGATCCCATATCTGCCTCTTTGCCCCCATTCCCTGGTGGAAGTCCAGTTCCCCTGCAAGTGTGTTTTCTGCTCCCCAGCCTCCCGACTGTCACTGATAGTCCCCTGGACTCAGGAGGTCCTGCCCCGCCCCACACTGAGCTGCTGGGCATAGCAGGGATCTCAACACCAAGCCCGGGAGGTTCTGGGTGGCCCCACCTGGAAGAAGGTCATGGTGGAGCCAGCGTGGATGGTGCCGTACTCAATGTTGGTCTGATCCGCCAGGTCATCGGCCGACTCCACGGGCACCTCCATGCGCTGCACGGTGAGGAAGGCGGCCAGGTTGGCCGTGTAGGAGGAGATGATGATCAAGGTGAAGGCCCACCTGAGGGGTGGGAGGGGTGAGCTACAGGCTGGAGCCACCCCTGCTGTCCTGCCCTGTGGCCATACACCCCATTGGTGGTCCCCCAGCAAGTGACCCCCGCATCCAGAAGGCTCAGTGACTGCTGACTAGTGGAGAGGCTAGGAGTGTGGACTCTGGAGCCGGACTCCCTGTTACATATTGCATCTAGAGTCTTCCACTTCCAGGTATAAGAGAGTAAGATGGTCTGGAAATACCCACCTACTGTAAACAGCTAGAAAACTGGACAGAACATAGGAAACTATTTAAAGACATAGGACAACAGGTATGGCAGGATTGTGATCCCTGAGAAGAGAAACAAAGTGAGTCTTATCATTGTCCTGGCCGTCTGGCTGGATTTAATTTCTAGACTGAGGTGCCAGGAAGGGAATCCCGGACAGTCCAGCAATCCTGCAGAGTTGCAGATAGAAAGCAGAGATCAGGGAGGCCCAGATGGCTGGAATTTGTGGTGAACAGTGCCTGAGAGGAGGGGCCACACAGGTAGAAGGTTCAGAAATCTGGGTGCCCTGGAGTCTGGCTGAATATCAATCTGTGAATGTATGGGGTGAGACTCCATGGGGCCAGAGAAGAAAAACTTTCAAGGAAAGAACAATTCTTAGGGTTCACACAGGACTGGGAATCTTTTGAGCTCCCTCCAGCCAAAGTAGAGAGATCTCCTTGAATACCTGGAGACATTAAGTAGAGACCTAAAAATGCAACATATTAGAAATAGGGTGAAGTTAGTCCTAGAACAAAGGAAATACTAGATCTGCTCTACAAGAGCTCAAAAACAGGCCTGGAAGGATCAGAATAATTCACAAGTAACTTAACAGCCTGACTAAAAAAGTCTAAGACTCTTTAAAGAAATACATTCAACAATGTAAATATTAAAAAATTCACAGTGTTTATCATCTAATAAAAAAAATGACCAGATATGCAAAAGGTAAAGCAAAATGTGACCCAGAACCAAGAGAAAAATCACTCAATTGAAACAGACTCAGAATTGACGGAGATGAAGGCACTAGCAGACAAAGACTTTTATTAAAACAGCTATTGTAAATATATTCAGAAGGCTCAAGGATGTAAAGAAAAACATGAGCGTAATGAGAGAAATGGAAGATATAAAAAGAAGTAAATGGAACTTCTAGAGAATGATATACAAACATCTGAAAGGAAAATTTTACTAGAAGGGCTTATGCAGATTAGACTCTGTAGCAGAAAAGATGAGGGAATTCTCTTTTTTTTTTTGAGACAGGATCCTGCTCTGTCACCCAGTCTATACTATAGTGGCATCATCACAGCTCACCGCAACCTCAATCTCCTGGGCTCAAGTAACCCTCCTGCCTCAGCCTCCCTACCCTCCCTAGGCTGGGACTACAGGTGTGCGCCACCACACCTGGCTAATTTTTCTATTTTTTGTAGAGATGGGGTCTCACTCTTCTTGCTCAGGCTGGTCTC